ATCGAATGTTACACAATATAAAAAAGATCGACATTTGATTTTATCACCTCGTGATATAACGAATGTCCATTATGCTTTGGGGACCACTCTTTAACGTTGTTAGGATTTTTGTCAGTCATCATTGGATTACCCATTTGTGAAATAACTACACAAAATCTGATTGGCCGATCATCTTGTGATTTATGGAAACTCGCCAGCGGCTGGAACTCTCCTGGAACTATCGAGGAACTGTTGTGATACAATATACAGTACATCATACCACAAACTGATTTAGCCAAGGCGCTATGCATATGCATGTAAATATAAAAATAGCTTAGCTTACCTTATCTAAATTCCTAATATGCTTGTAATCGAATAAAAATGAATTTGGATTTAGTAGAGTATAATCTTGCTTAAATCAGCTATAAAACAATAAAATCGCTATAATTTGCTATAAGTCTTATTTATTGTGCATATTCAAGTATATTAATATGACAAGTGTGATTAAATCTCCACTAGCTGGTGGTTTTGAGGGTACTTATGAGGAGCATGTCGAATATATTGGTTTGCGTTACATTATGGATGGTGAAACTCCGTCTGAATGGAGAAATAGGATTTAGGATCGCTTAATGTATTTTCGAAATAAAAAATACTATACATATAGTAAGAAAGATTACTTCTGCGCTCGCAAAGCTTTGCCATATCTTGTTGATGGGCAAAAATTATTCCCGAAATGTGGAATGGCTATCTGTTACTCGTGCAATAAAGTTGTATATCCTGGAATAGAACATTTGTCAGTTGGTGAAAGATCTGTTTATAACGGATTGGAGGGTAAGTTCATAACTGAGAGATTCAAGAATATTAGCTTTAATGGAGAACATTAGGATATATATCAACATTGGGCCACAGCTTGTACCGGAAATAAGTTTTGCAAAGTAAATTTCGAAGAATATATGGAATTAAAACAGCTAATCCCATTGGATAAGTGGACGAGTTTCCATCAATATTATTTGCAGATAAATCAATTTGGTAAATTCGGGTGCAGAGAACCATACTGATAATAATTATATTAAAGATAAATTTGGCATTTATGCTGATAATAAACTATATAGTTATGCTTTATGGTTAGAAAATGTTAGCAGAAGGATTAGGTGCATCAGACAGAAACGTGTCCTTTTGAATATTCGAAAACAGAAGAAATTCCATCAGATCATGAACAATATTCGAGAGATGCATCCATTATGCATAAATAGGCAGGATTGGAATGATGAGCCACGTTCATTGACCCCTCCTCCGTTACCACCAAAACCTGTTGCACTAATGGATGGTCTTAAGAGATACCCCATGCTACGTAGTGCAAGTGCGTCTAGCTTCATTGATGTTGATGAGTACTGGGCTTCTGTGCGAAAAAATGCAAGGAGATAGACTTAATATCTTTTAACTGAATATTATTATTTCAACTATATTTAGCCAAATGTAACATACTTTATTTTTTTGCGAAATGAACTTATAATTTAGCCGTCAGCTATGCATAGTTTAGCCGAATATGGTGATCGAGTCTAATTTAGCCGAATCAGTTTTCACCCGAACAATTGAATAAAAATGAATTTGGATTTAGCAGTGTGTAGTCTTTCAAATTGGCTACAAATCATTTAATTGCTAACCAGTAAATCCGTATAAAATTGAATGATGATATTTTATAGTATATGTTACTCAAGAATAGCTAGAATTCGCTAAAAATACTATAGATCAATAAAATCAGTGAAATTGCTATAAATTACTATAAACGCCTTTACACTTGTAAAATGGTTAAAACTAACTATTCCGGTTTAAATTTTGTAGTAGTGCAGGCGTTAAACAATCTGCAATATAGGTATAGCGGTAAAACACCAGAAATGTGATATTCCCGTGTTCATTATCCATTTAAGAAACTTCTTGAATATAACCCGAAATACTTTTCCAAGAATGGATTTATTCAAATGATTGAAAAAGTATATATAGATGGGGAATTTAAAGCTGGGAGATGTTCACTATATATTTATTGCACTGTATGCGACTCCTTGGTAATTATCCATAAAAATACTATTGAATGTGCAAATAAACATCTGAATGAATGCATTGCTAAAACAGCCAAAAAGCGTATTGCATATTCTAATCCTGTTCAGAAAAAAGGAGGAAGAATAGCATCAGAACTAAGTAAAGATGAAATTTATGAGATTTGTGGTAAATATACTGATTTTCCTAGTCGGGGTTATAATGAACATAATATTGACTATGAATTTTGGAAAAAGACTGCATATCATATATTTAATAGTGCAAAAATTATCTAACGGGCTTGAAGAACTTATAAGTTGAGACCTGAAACTTGGGCAAAACGAGTTTGGAACATGGTGAGGAATGACAATACTCCTGACAAAAAGAAGTTTTTAGGAATAGATCTTAGCATTAAAAAATCTCCTAATTATTATATAGCAAATAATGTAGATAAGAAGAGAGAACAGTTAAGTAATCGATTATGTCTTGTATCATATATAGTTGCTTTTATATTATTACGTCAGCAAGGCTATAGAATCGTTGAATATTCAGGATGGACTTATATGCTAAAGTGGCTATCGAATCCTGAATATTACCGTAATAATGAATTTGGCAATGAAAGAATTGTTAAAAGTTCAAAGTATGCGTAATATTATTGTAAAATATCTGGCAAACCATATCCATGTGATTCGCTAAAAATTAACTATTTCAATTCTGGATATTTCTATTTTCAAGGAAAAGATGTTAACATAGATTTCTCAGATTCAAACAATAATTGCGAGTATATACAACGAATTTTCCAGACTATCCCTTAAATCGTAGGGTTTTGCAGGCAAATTTGCCTGCTTATTTACTATAAATTCTCTTCTGATTTACTTTT